ACGCAGCGGTTGGCACACGGCGGCACTGCGGGCATGGCTACAGCATCATCCTGAGCGTGTGAACGTCCCGAGCCCTGGCTCGCGTTACACGTTGCTGACCACGGCTGTCAAGCGCGGCCACCTTGACACGGTGCATATGCTTGTTGGTGAGTTCCATGCCGATTTAGGGATTCCTTGTGGTGGTATTGACAACACATGTGTGCATGCCCCCGCATCCAACTGCGATGTTGAAATGCTGTCGTACCTCTTAGCCTGCCGTGCTCCGCTGAAGCCAAATGCTTTTATGGAGTACCCCAGTGATATTGCGAAGGTGGCGACGGCGGCTAGTTTGGTGAAGGAGAAGTGTATTGCCATGCTACGTGCACACGAGGGCGAGCTCAATCCACACGGGCTGAAGCAGGAAGGGAAGGAAGGAGGGCAACCGCAACCGATGCAATGGAGATCACCTCTTGAGTCTGTTGTTAGTGCCACCTCTTTACGCGATGTTATTTCAGATGTGAAGCTGACGGGCGATGGGGACGGCAAAGAAGAGGACGTCCAACGTCGAAGTTTACAAGAGCTTCCGATGCAAGGGACTGGCACTGCAACTCGAACCACCGAATCGTTGACGACCACCACAAACGGGGTAAACGGTAACCCAGAGGAGAAAAGTAGGGGCAATGCGAGCCGCGTCCAACCGCGAAATGCGCGCAACATTAAAGAAGAGGTAACGTTGCCTTTAGATCTTCACACGTTTCGTCGTATGTACGGTAATGGTTTTGATTTTATAGAAAGTACTCACGCATACTTTATACGTGGTCTTTTACCGTACAACTTTAAAGGTCATGTATATTATACTCCAGTTGTTTTAATTCTTCGAAAGGCGATAGATGCGGAACAGGAGGGGGGTGAGTCATCTCAGCAGGCGTACCACATCATCAGCAACAGCAGCAGCAGCAGTGGTCCTTCAAGGAGACGTCGCATTGTTTCCCGCTACGGTGCACTTATTGACCGCAAGAGAATTGGTGATCTCTTTATCAATCGCCGTGCGACGTACATTGACCCCTGCACAGCTGCCATTATCCCTAGTGAGGCGGACGCGTATTATAAAAATTTGTTAGGTTTTCTGCGACATGCCGTGTTGGACAATTTTGAACGCATCCCCCCACTGACTCCCTCTGTGGATGAGAACAGAGGTGTGCAGGACAATCTCCCGCTCTTTCGACTGTATCCAAGGGAGCGAGAGGTCTCACTGCGTATTCTTCGCGATTTGTCCCGGTTCTGCGATGGTGTCTTTACGTACGATAGTGCTACCCTTCGAGTGGAGGGGTTTCTTCCATTGTTCATGGACCTCCCAACCCCGCCACGGGAGGGTGGCTTCTCCGCCTCTGACGGAGCCCTTGCCAAGACCGCGTCATGTCCGAAACCGCATCCTCACAACAGCCCGGGAACGACTCTTCGTGGAGGTGAAGAAGAGGTAGTGGCGACGGATCTGATCATGAAATTGCCACTTCGTGTGCAGTTTTCAGCAAACAGCAATTTTGAGGACCCACCACGCGTCTACTTTTTAAGCGCTACCACCAGCTGCCCGGAGACACGGACGAACTATGAATTCCTCTCGAAGATTATTGCGGACAGCTCTCTTGGGGAGGTTCGCCGCGATACGCTTAGCTCACTGGAGAAGTGGAATCAACACGGATCTCTCTTGTCCGTTTTATCGGAGCTACAGCAAAAGGCAACGTCGTTGTTGATGGAGTATTGCCAGACATCCGCGTTGTCGTTTGCGAAGGGTGGAAGTGAGGTTGCCATGACGCAGAAAATGGATAGTTATAGTTCTAGAACTCCTTTGAACCCCACTTTATGTGGAACGGGGAGTGTCGGTTCGACGAGCGTTGAATGTGACATGGATTGGCTCCTCGTTGGACACCCGACGGTAAGAAATGCACCGGATTTATTCCGTAACACCTCGCCGACTTCAAAACACAATTTTGAAGACATGAGCACTGCAAACGTGTGTGTGATTTGTCTGGAGGCAGGGAGGAATGTCGTGCTGCTTCCATGCCGTCACTTGGTACTCTGTCTTTCGTGTAGTCTTCGCTACAAGGATCATTTGGCAGATGAGATGCTTTGCCCTATATGCCGTATCCCCATTGTAGGCATGTTGGAAATATTTCCGTAAACAGTCATTGTGGCTGAAGGAATGACTCATTCATGTATGTGACATTGTTGGACGTTTGTCATTTCTTTTATTACTTTTTTTTTCACAATTCCGAATGGAAGGGAGGAAATCACAACATTTGAGAAGCACCCACGAAAGTAACCAAAAGGGTTTCTTGAGAAGAAAACGAAAAAAAAAAAAAAAAAGAAAAAAGAAAAAAGAGAGGAAATAAAAGGAAACAACGAAGTGCGTGTGTATATATTTACACGATGGATGCGTCGGGTATGAACGGTGTTTTTTTTATTTTCTCTTTCTTTCTCTCTTTCTTTATATATTTTCTTCTTTCTGTCTCTCTCTCTCTCTCTTTGTATGTGTGTGTGTGCGATCACCTTCAATCAACACGGTTATTATTTATTATTATTATTTATTGTTTTTTCTTTGTTGTTGTTGTTGTTATACGCATTGGAATGGTGGAAGCGTGCGTGTTTGTTTTGTTTGTTTCTGAAGGGATAGTACGGCGTGAGCAAAGAAAGAGGAACAGAGAGAAGGAGAGAGAGAGAAGGAGAGAGAGGCCTATTCACGTGTATTTTTATTTTTACGTATTCAGAAGAAAACAACAACAACAAAAGACAAAACACACACACACACACACACACACGAAAGGAAAAGGGGGATCAATAATGGAAGAACCGACTTTTATGCGTATTGTCTTGCACGTTTTTGGTCTTCGGGCTGAGATTATTTCCGCCGAGTTTGTACGCTTCAGTATGTCCCGACCGAGGGGAAACTGCCCCTACTTGACACCGCAATTTATTCGAGAGGGGGAGCAGGAGCAGCAGCGTTACATCCCACCGAGCGTGGATCAACTGCGGCTTGCACTTGTAAGCGATGCGGAGGAAATGGGTGAGTGGGGGACGACGGCACCACTTTTACTCGAGAAAACACGGCCGTCTTTGAGTGGCAATGGGATGAGAAATGGCAATGACGTGAATGACAACCTTCTCTACTTTACGGCATCGGTACAGGTGCCGGCGTCAAGTGTGAAGGAGCACACTTTACGATTTCGTCTGGTGATTGTGGACGAACCGTTGTTGTCTGCGATTGCTGCGATGTCGACGACGGCAACTTCGTCTTCCGGTATGGGTCTTTGCGTCGCGAAAGGCATTAGGCCTGGTGCCGCCATTGTTGCTGTGGAGAATGCCTATTGGCAGCCAGAGACCGTGACACTTGTTCCTTCTGACAGCCATGATGGGAAGACCTGGCATGCATATATTGATCTGCGGGATCGTGTAGTGCA